CGTGGTCATCGAAGTCCTGGATATACATGAGGGCTGCTCCCTGCAGATCTCTTGCAGGTGCAGCCTGTGATAAGTTGGAATCTTGACATACAGTGTTTGAGGTTTTAAGCAGTCATGTGCAGGTCGTGACAATTTCTTGCATGAGCCTAGAACAAGAGCGCCATGTGTCGGCTTGCATTTACAGAAGCCCCCTTGGACAGCAGGGAATGCCCATGATCTGCCCCGCCTTCCCTTGAGGGCCGACCAGTCTACATGCATTTGCCATGGAGGGGTTCTCCAGGGGCAACACCCGTAGACAGAAGGCAAAGAGAACATCACACAAATAAGGCTACGCCATGTCCCACGAAACTATCAGGGAAGATAACTTGGTCAACAAATGCTCAATGAAGCTGGATGCGTCAACCGAAAGGTGCAAATATCGTAGCTTCGCTGTTAACAGGAATAACGCAATTACCTCACTTGGACGAGCGAAAAGAAGAAACACTTTTTCAGTGCAGAGTAGTTTTTACTGTAATACTTTCAATCCCAAAGACTGTGCTCTATATAGCAACAATTCTTGTGTCTCAATGAGTTCAACTGAACGCAGTATGGCAGAGGGAATTTGAGTAACAATTTAAACAAAATGGGTTGATGTAACATAAGTGAGGGTTAGAAGAAATTAAGTACTAAATACAAAATCAGAATAAACAGTTGTTGAGATGCTTGGTTTTGAATGAGCTAAACAAGTGTACTTGACCAGTTCAGTTCAATTCAAATTATCATCAGTACACTCTGAACACTGTACAGTTATAAAATATTCTGCAGACAAAAATATATGAGAAACCCAGAGAAAAGAACCACTACAGTTTAACAGTTCATACTGAAAAAATTAATCACCAGAACCTCCAAGTTAGTAAGTTGTTTTTTTACCACAAGTTATTTTTGTCACCTTCAGAATTTTGCGACCCTGTACAGTTGCACATGCCTAAATATGGCCCTGCATCAGAGAACAGCAACTAACTGTGCCTTGTTCACATAATCTGTAATTTCAACAATTAATTTTAAAGTCATAAATAGCTAATTGTGCGTCCTAAGAAGAATGCAAGCTTTTTAGAGGGGGGGGGGGGGGGGGAGGAGGGGGGAGTAAGTTAGAAGTCAAAAGATGTCAAGGATAAGTGAATACACAAATTTATAAATATCATATGCAACAATAAATTGTAAAGGTCTTAAAGTATAAATCATTTGAAATATAAGTAAACTTTGGTTTAATAACTATAGATTTGTGGAGAAAAACCATCAATGATAATGCATATTTGTAAAGTTTGAAGGGAAAAAAAACCTTTTCATACCAGTCTCAGATCTGGCATATGATGCTAAACACATATTTGTATAGATCAACCGGCACTCACTGAGTGAAGTGGTCAACATCACAACAGCCACCTTTTCTTCCCAGGACATTACCTTGTACCTTTTTTAGGCTGGATCCACCTAGAAGCCAACCTCAACTTAAAAACAATCTGACTAAATGTGGATTCAAACTCAAGACCTTTGGGCTGGCATCCAAGCACTTTGGCCACTAGCCTACTGCAGCTCCTCATTGTTTTATATGTGCCCTACACTAAACAGTGCCATATCAGAGGAAAACCGATTTCAAAAAAATGAAATTATGATAATCATGAACAAATTCCACAAAATCATTTACTAATGTATCTGTATATCACTGATATGTTCACATCCTGCTATACAAATGTTTGCAGAAATCACCAGAAACAAAATTATTACTGCAATTATCAGCATGGCACATGATGATGATGATGAAGAATGAAAATAATTAAATCTGTGTATAAACAAAATGTATTCATATATAAATATGTGTTCACATTTCTTTATGTGCATATGTGTAAATGTGTGTATTTACACGTGTGTGTGTTTATATGAAAGCACTTAAAAACATATTAATTTTCCCAGATAAAGATTTTATCAATTTGATGTGCTCAAGAAAAGATATGAGAAAACAAGAAAATAAGAAATCCCACAGGTACCACTCCTGTGCCCTGAATATATATAAGAACAGAAGACAAAAAGGTAATTCTGAACCTTGGGAAGAAAAAGATCAAAGCGATTGTGGACAAAACCTCAGAGATATGTGTGTGTGCGTGCATGTGTGCGTGCATGCATGCATGCGCACGCACACCCTTCATGCTTTTTTGCATATTTTACTTGAAATTCATAGTATATTGTTATATGAACAAAAACGCTTTATATGAACAAAAACGCTTTATAGATGAGATGTAATTGCTCGGTGAAAGATTAGTGTTTGGAAGAGCAAAATGAAAGAAAGGCCTATGTGCCCAATTAGCAAACCTCTTAAAATTAATGATGTGATCAACAGCATGCCAGCCAACTAAATTTCCAAGAGTATTTCTGTTACCTATTGTAGACTGTAATGGAGGGGTATATGCCTGGGAAGAGAGGAAGAGGAAGGCCAAGGAGAAGATGGGTGCAGGATGTGGCAGATGATCTCCAGATGGGTGTATCAGACGCAGGACATCTTGCTCAGGATAGGAAGGTTTTCCGAAGGGTTGTTATGGCAGCGAGGTTCCGCGAGGGACATGCTACTGAATGAATGAATTGTAGACTGGCAACACAGCTAAGACGAAATATTAAAAATTGTATTTATATGAACCCAAGACTTTTGGGCAGGCAGGCAAACAAACATCTAACTAGTGTGCTAATTTGGCTCCCATTCAGCTGTAAAAAAAAAAAACTGTTATTTTACAAAATAAAAGCAATCAGACAAGCTTGCAGACCATTACATTTAGACTTGTGCAATGAATACAAAAGACTAGGCAGTCGTATATACAAGAGATTCAAAACTGGGGATTCAGAACTTTACCCATATGGGCATCAAAGAATACTGAAAATGTGCTATAGACATGGTCTCTACATGCAATAGAGAGATCCCAGATTTGGCCAGTTGGCATCCCAATTGAAACTAAGCTGTATCGAACAGTGGAAGACGTGTGGCACCACATACGTCATAGAGGTCTGTATCCTTCCAATCTAAAAAACAAACGCAGGGAAAATAAAAAGAAAGAACAATAAAGGCTTGCATATGCAATTAATACGTCTAAAAATACAATTCATTCGTTCAATTATTACAATGATATATACATTTATATTTTTTTAAGAAAATTTACAAAACGCATGCTAAATCTTTAAAACAAAATTAACAGTCTCTTAGTAATGTGATCCTCTATAAACAAGCAGACAAATTTTCTTTAGTAAACTCACCGGTTGATTTGATAAGAGAAAGACTGACTCATTTTAGCTTCTGTATATAACAATGTACCCAATAATAATTTACAATTTAACCATAATTTACAGTTTAAACATGTCCCACATCATAACATAAATAATTTCTAACTGAAGCCCATCAGTCTCTCTCCTGCTGACAACATTACACAAAACACAAGACTCTGCGGCTCCAGTGAAAACCAATACAACATGTGGTCACTATTAAGGCTGCTATGTTTGTAAGGTAGTAGAGGGTGTTGCCATGTCTTTGTTGCCTATAGCCCATTTTATTTTTCCTGGTAACTTCACAAAGATCTGACAATGTTACAAGAGTTCCCAAAATAAATGATTTGAAACCTGTTTTCCTAATATGATATTATGAGCACCTGGTGAATTCTTACAGTTAGTCCTGACTTATGGCTACCTTTACCAGGCAACAATTTCTGGATTTAATTATTCACATAATGTGTTTCCAAATTGGAAATACAAATGATTTACTAAAATTAGAAGCAACTAATGAATGCATGGCTTTACAAATCTCACTCAGATAAACTGACTTTATTGCCTGTATTTACCAATTTTTAGTGCTGTGTATTCATGGGGGGTGTTGGTCTTAAGCCAGAGGACTGGGGTCACACGACTAGTGCAGCTGCCATGCACTGTGCAGGGTAAGATTAAAATGTATGCCTCCAGCAGGAAACAAACTTTCATGACCTTACCATCAAACTGAAACTTAGGGTCACTGGCATGAAAGTCCAGACACTGTCAGCCACTCTTCAGTGATTCAGTGAGATAATAGCAGAGTTACAATCATCGTCAAATACTGTACGATATCTAAAAATGAGAAGCAACTATTTTTTTTTTTCCTTTAATAAATTCTGATTTAGAAATTTCAATTTGAAAAAATGCAGTAATAATAAGCTTAAATATTGTATATACCTGATATTTAAAGAGAGAAAAACTTTTTTTTTCATAATGATTTTTAAATGTAAGCAGTCACAATGAGATAATATCACAGAAATGATCAACACTGTACACATTTCATATCTACTGGAAGAAGCAACTATTGGTTTTGTTTTTTTCCTTGCAATGAATTCAGTTTTACAAACTTCAGTGAGATTATTTATACATATATTCAGGGGTTTAAGGTGATAAATTCAGGGTTTCACAAATCACAGTGAGATAATATCACAGAAATAATCAACTTAAATACTGTTTATATCACAAATCTAAGGGCACAAATAATAATTTTTTCCAGTAAAGAATTCAACTGTTGTTCACAGCCTAATTACTTTCTGCAAATTTCCTAAATTCAACTGTTGCTCACAGCCTAAATACTTTCTGCAAATTTCCTAAATTCAACTGTTGCAGACAGAGTAAATACTTTCTGCTAATTTCCTAAATTCAACTGTTGCACAAAGCCTACAAATTGTGCGAAATTTTTTCTTAAATTCAATGCTTTTCTTCTTGACCAGAAGAAATCTCAGATTCAAATAAAAATAAGAATCAGAAATAACAAAATAAATACTGCCTTTAAACATGGATGTCTTCATACACTGTCAACAAAGCTCCAGTGACCAGAATATTTTAGGTATTCAACTGTCAGCAGATTCCCTCCCAATGCCCAGAGGAAAGCCCCAATTCAGATAACATGACAACCAGGAGGGGGGAAATAAATATTTTCTATGAGTACACATGTTGAATGTAACAAAGGATGACAGTCTCTATACATCATCAACAGAACCAGTGTAATCCATGGAACCTCTTTTAGGCTTGACATATTTCACACATTTGGGTATGTAGACTAAAAACATCACCAGTCCGGACACAGCATAAAAGAAGCCACATAAGTAGAAGGTCAAATCAAAGTTGCCAGTGGTATCGGTCAACCAACCTATGGGGAAGACAAAAACAGTACCATCTGTCAGTCAACTGTTGCAATAGTTCATCACCTTGTTACATTGCCAAAGTGAAAAATATTTAAATGTTGTGTAATATATAATTTGCATCATCAAGTACTCTGCCGACTTGCATTGGCAATCAAGCCTCCCCACAACCTGACAACAGCAAGTATCTGGTATCCAACAGCAGGTATCTGTTCCTGTGCTGACACCCCTCCATTTCATGACAAATGGCCATCAAGAATGTTGCTGTTGATCCTCTCTTTCTATAAATCTTTCAACATGTTCCAGGTTCTTTATTCTCACAATTTAGTCTTCTAGAAAGTTTTCTACGGGTCTTCTTCTACTCTCCAATATCTGGATTATGCATCTTTGCTGTTCAAGGAATGAGTGCATACGTCTCTACTGACATATGAACAGCACAATAGGAGATGAAGATGATGATACAAATGTCCACAAAGTTAATTATGGCAGTCTTTTCACAGTACAAGGGGAAGTCAATAAATAAGTCACAAATGGTTGTTCACACACACACACAAAACTACAGATGATAACAACTTGAAAACTGTTTATTTTTACACATATACTCCACCTTTTTTTTCCAACATAATTTCCACCAACAATGATGCACTTGTCCCATCGTTTTATCAGTCCTCCCAAACCTGCTGCATTGAACTGTGTGCTCTGTTTTTTAAACCACATTTTCACTCACATTAAATCTCTGCATCATTGGTGAAATGTCTCCCAACAAGGTGGGTTTTCAGTGGACCAAAAATGTGGAAATCGCTAGGGGCTAAGTCAGGGCTGTAAGGTGGATGTTCCAGAATTTCCCACCCTAGATGGTCAAATCTCTCCTGATTTAACCGAACCTTTGTTCTTTGAGGGTACACTCCGTAAGTACAGTCGCAATTTTGTTTCTGTGTTGTGAATGCGACTGCAACACCTAGAGACACCTAACGAATGGAGACATAATGTTCGACGTTGCTGTCATATAATGAGACATTTAGAAACCACCAACTACATTTTCCTGCCATCCCATAACCATCTGTGACTTACTTATTGACTTTCCATAGTATAATGATGTCTCAGTGCACATTATTTGAAGTGCAAATTTGCTGACATTAATTTCTGCAAGTCCTGAATGTCAAATCAGAAATGTGTGGTAGGAAATGTTTCAACACAAATGTGTAGTTGGAAATTTTTCATCACAAATGTTTTAATATAAATGTGTACTACGAAATATTTTACCAGAAATGTGTCTATGAAATGTTTCAACAATGGTTATGGAAACTTTAAAGGGAGTCTGAAAGCATGTTTATAAATAGACTGTAACTCGTGTGTATGTGTGTGTGGGTGGGTGTGTGTGTCTCTCTCTCTGGCTATGTCTGTCTGTCTGTCTCTCTCTAAATTTTTCTTCTCTCTCTTTGCCTATGTCTGTCTGTCTCTCTCTCTCCAATTCTCTGTCTTTCTCTCCCTCTCTCTCTGTCTACATCTATCTAGGTCTCTCTCTCCCTCTCTTTCTTTATGTCTGTCAAATTACGGGGGGGGGGGGGGCTGGGTGGTCTCAAGACATGGCACCTCAAGTGCAGGAGGTCCCAGGTTCAGGTCCCAGTAGACTTCTAGTAATTTCCCCTGGTCTCTGGGTAGTCAGATCAGACTCCCGTGTGTATTGTTGAGTCCGTAAAAAAAATCTCTTGGCAGTTTGAAATCGAAAAAAGTTGTCTAACAGAGCTGCCCAAGCAAAATCTGGAGTTAAAAATCTACCCAAAGTGCACTGCGCTGAGATTCTTTGGACTAAGGCTTGTATTAGAAGTACAATTGAGCACTTATGGATCACTACTGTTGTGCCATGATGTTGAACTGTTGTATAAACAACAAACCAAACTGTCTTTCACTCCTCCTTCCTTACTATCTACCTGACTCTCCAAAAATAACACTATGCAAATGTGCAGCCAACCATCACCGTGACTACCCTGAAAAAAAAAATGAAGTTTACATTTAAATGTAACACAAATCGTCATACCTGCAAATGGTGGTCCACCAACATTGGCCACACCTTGCACCAGCATCAACAGACCGTAGGCACTTGTCAGCTTTGCCACACCCAAGTAGTTCACCAGCAAGACAGTGGTCAGAGGGAAGCTCACACTGATAAAGAAGCCAAACAGGGAATATGTTGCTGCTAGACTGACGTAGGTTTTCATCAAGGGAATCAGAGCCACAAACAGGCCAGCCACAGAGGAGATAATGGCATACACACTCAGAAGATTAATGTCCATATCACCTACAAAGCCGAATACTACCTGGCCAACTGTGTTGAAGATTCCAATGACGGATATCAGAAATGAAGCTTTGTGTTGTTCTACTCCAGTTGATTGGGCATGGTCCGATGCATACATGTATGGTATATCATCCCAGAAGTAGAAAATAAAATTTGATGACACAAAGACAAGGAAGAAAGGATTAAGGAATAATTTGAACTCAACCATATTCCTCATCATATCATACGATTCTTCAAAAAAAGCTTTCACTTTCTTCACAATGATGTTTCCGCTTGTCTCCGGGGCTACTGACTCTGATAGCTCAGGACAGCTGGTACCTAGCGTGCACTGTCTATGGGCGGGGTTGTTTCTCAAGAGACGTCTGTAGAAAATATCGGTCCTGTACAAGGGAAGGTGAATGCCCAAAGCATTGTGACGACCAATATGTACACCACTTAGTCTCTTGACCACAGACCTTCCCTCCTTTTCGCAACCCTTGTTTGTTAGTATGTTGCTCATACCTGAGAATTCCCGACGTTCATGTTGGTGACTTTCATGTGGCACAGTGTAACTCTTCCCACCTCCCACAACTGCATACAACTGGGTCTTCTGCTTCCCTTGACTTGAACTAATCGGTGAATGCTGGCCCGGTTTACTAAATGACTCACGTGAATATGAATCGGCTGCATCTGTAGCCTCATTTTTTTGACAAGTTAAGCAGTTGGATTTTATTGCACAGGTGTGTGAAAGACAATCATTAAGAATGGAGGCAGGTAAACTGTTTGGAATGTCACTGTCGGAGCTGTCAGGTGTCAAACTATAAGCTTCAATATCAACAGATGTTCCAATACGTTCTGGTGAAGTCTGAAATAAACTGCTGCCTTCTATCTGAAGCATTGCATTCTTCATGTATCTGTGTAGAGTCAGGTGGGGATTCTTACTGCTCTTTAATGCTTCCATTAGCACAGTTGAAGGAATACGCATCATTTCTATACTGACAAAAGTTGGTAAGCTCAGTACAGATAAAGTCCTGGCTTCTTCATCGAAAATATCTTCATCAGAATGGTAATCACTAGAATCGCTAGGGTATCTATTTCGTAAGAACTCTATGTCTTCTCTACTGTATGGAATTTTGTTGAATTCCTGAAGCAAAATTTCCCACCTTTCACTTTCGGTAAACTGCAGTGGCCGAAACAGCATACCGCATACAATGAGATTTAAGCTTATGCCAGCCATCACTATGAACATACCCCTCCAGCCAAACTCAACAATGAGGTAGTCCATCAGCGGTGCAAAGGTAAAAGTTCCAACACCCGTACCGCACACAGCCAGTCCAGTTGCAAGAGCTCTCCTTTTGTCAAAGTAGAAAGCCACCACAACAACACTGGTTATGTAGCAGAAAGAGAATCCGGTCCCAACAATAGCACTAAATGTTATGCATAACATTTCTATGGATGTTGCAAAACTACTCAAGAACAAGCCAACAGATGATATAATACCACCAATTATTGTCATAGTCCGGCAGCCAAACCGTGTGGTTAGAGCACTGGCAAAAGGACCCAGAATCATTGACACGCCGTAAAAAATGCTCCCGATTAAAGATGTCTTGCTATGACTTTCCCCAAACTGGACTTTCAACTCTGTATAGAGAACACCAAAACAATAAGACAGGCCATCACATATTACAGTCACCATAAATGCTCCCAACACGATAAACCATCCCCATCCTCCATCAGGTGCCTGCGGCATAGGAAGAGAAGAGCTGGTGCTAGAGCTGAAACTAGACATGCTGTCATGTCGGCTCCTCTTTCCGCTGGCAGCTTCATCAACCCGGACAGTCAACCAACTGTAACATCTATCTATGTTCACCTCTCCCTTGCTGCCCTCTTGCTTCTCTATTCCATTCATCCCATTTTTCTTCAACAAGGCATCACTCTCACTTAATCCTAATGACTGATCATTTTTGGAAGCATGCTTATCTTCCCATTTCCCATCAGCTAGACCTCCCATATTTAACAAATCTGAAGAAATACGTTTTTCAAGCTGTAATGGCAGTATACTAGTTGACATTTCAATACGACCTTTTTGCGAATCCGTAAGAAAGTTTCCAAAAATCCACTGATTTCAACAAACCTGAAGTGATCACTAACAGTACAGGGTAGAGAGCATATATCGGTATGATAGTTATTTCTGAAAGAGATCTGTCTCAAATTCTTGTCGTTCAAAGAACAATTCCCACAACTCAATGCAGCTGTTAACCAAATTGCTGGGTTGTCAATAGTCGAAAGAAAAAAAAGATTTAGATCTGCAAGACTCCCACTATGACAGCTGTTGTTGCAAAGGTTCGAAACTCTCCTCGGGCGTTGGTACAACATCAGGAAAACTCTGAAAGTAAAATGAGACATGGATATAAAAATACTTTATCAAACTACCCCGCATACATAAAAAAGCTGGGGGCACAAATGTGTATCCAGTGCTGGCTATGCAAACATTATGTGGTGACGCCCCAATCTCTCCCACTGTGCAACTTTCACACCACCGTCTGTCTCAAAGCCATAAGAACAATCTTCTTTTTTCTGAACCAAACACAGTGGGAATCGAATGACAAACATTGAGGTCTGCATTGTGAAAACATTTCACAACATCTAAGACACAGTGCCGCACACACCACACATAACCAATACTTCCATTTCTCTTTTGAATGTTTAGTCAAAACGGTGGCTTCTGGCCACTGTGCCCAAGCTGTTACCCTGAATGTTTCTGTTCTTGAGACTTCTTTCCAGTCCCCGACTTCTGTTACTTTTTCCTAAAGCAGTGGTCTTCATGCTGGCGGGTGCGCTGGGTAATAATAGTTATACTTACATTTTGGATTAGTTTTATTATAAATAGAATATTTGTCAAAATCTGTTTGTTAAACAGAACAAACAAAAACATTTTTGTTTTCATGACGAGTGTGCAATCTATCCTTAAAAATCTAATTGTTATGATAACAGTTGCATTTAATTATAGATTCAGAATGCATTCTGACCAAAAAACAAGTCTCTATACTTTCTGTTTATTTTTGTGTGTTGAATCTATTATCCTCTTTTTAATCATATTTTGCTATGTTGGGGACGGTGGGATCTTGGCATATACTCAAGAGGGTGTGGGGGGTGTTGCCATATACCCAAGGAGGTGTGGGGGTCTTAACATATAATCAGGGTGGGGGGGGGGGGGAGTGCGTGGGGATCTTGCCATATACTCGGGGGGGGGGGGGATTGGAGGGGACTGAAAAATATTGGAGACCACTGTTTTAAAGTGACTTCTCAATTTTATTTTAAATAAAAATCTTCCAGGGCTACATCAGTGGATTTGAAAACAAAATAACTTGTCTCCAAGGTAAATCCAGCCTAAAATAATTACCAGGAAATATCATGAGAAGTAAAGGCAGCCAGTGTGATGTTGACCACATCACCCATGGAATACCAACTGACCTATATAAATATGAGGCTAGCATCATTTGGCTAATCTGGCACTGGCGTGAAAAGGATCTTCTGTAGCTTTCTTAGCAGACTCAATGTTTGTTGTCTCAATATTGAAGATGAAAGTACTAGCAGACCGAAGAATACTTTATGATCTAAGCCACAAACAAACAAAACAGATGGTTAAACTAGAGACGTTTGCAACGTTCACACATACAAAATGCTACAAAACCTGGTCAAGCTGAACAAAAAAAGTCACACATACAAAATGCTATAAAACATAGTGGAGCTTAACTAGCATAGTACCATGTAGTTTAGACGTGCCACTTTAGAGAAAATATGCGGCAAGCTCAGGTCTGAATTTTTGCTGATAGCAGTTTTTTATGACAGGTGCAAAAGTAAACATCATAACCTGTGCAGTTTGTGGCTTCATGGCGGCTGCACTAGCCAGGCAGCCCTAAACCTTCATAATTAAGAAGGGAAAAAATGCACTGCAAAAAAAAAATGGTAAATACTATGAGTAAATAGTGTGTTCATTTATTTTTTATATAGAAATACATTTTTTTTTTAAAACAGGTAAAGATTCCAGATGCACCAATCACTCACAGAGGATGAACAGCACACATTAGCACATCAGGTAATTAAACAACTCTGTGTACGAGCTTGTCCTGACATCTGAAAATTACTGCCACAAGCAGACAACAGAAACCATTCATGTGCGCATACAAGGGAAAACCACCACATTATCATTCAATGGAAAACTGTTTGAGCCGGTCCAACATCCAGACCTGATGAGTGGTATGTCTAGAAAGTTGACTTCAACCAGCATTCCTCCCCCATTTTACAATCATGGCCAAACAAACCAGGGACAATTGTTACGCGGCACCCTTGAAAGCTAACCAAACATGAAACAAAAAAGAAATGTAGATGTGGTTCTCTTGTTAAAATCCGATATCTCAACATAACAATTTTCAGCTGCTGCTTTGGGGTTAACAAATGTTATATATGTGGCTGGAGCATTGTTTCTGATATATGAAGCTCTACAATAACATCCATTTGGTTTCTCCTTTTGGTTTTAGTCTTTTAACAAAGATATGAAGTCCTTTTTCGGCCATGTTATGAGATGAGGGAAAATAGAACATGTTGTGACCACTGGAAAGATCTGTGGAAGGAGGGATAGAGGAAGACAACGAGAGAAGATGCTTGACAGTCTTGTTGCATGGCATGGAGGTGTGTCGGCACACGAACTGATACATGCTGCAGGAGATCGCGGATTATGGAGAGGCATGATCGCCCACGCCAGTCGGCAAGGCACCTGATGATGATGATGATGATGATGATGAAGTCCTTGAGGAATTAATTGTACAGACTGAAAGAGGAACATCATGTACCCTACCTCGTTACATAATTAGGCATAATTTTTTTTTGCGGCCCACCCGGACTTTTCTGCGACACACTGGAGCTAGGCAAGTATCCAGAATTGATGACTGACATTTCTGGTAAGTTTTTTTTTAACCAAACTTTGTCTTCAGCAACCTGTAATGATATGACAGGCCATGTGTATGGTCATTTTGGCTTATGATCTGGCTGTTTGTTACCCGCGTAGATTCTGGGGCCCCATAAAAGGTCAGGTAAAGGACCCCTTTCACATCTTAGATGTATCAGGCAACTACCTTTACTTCCTAGGGCATTTCCTGGTACCCGTTTTAGGCTGGGTACACATACAATTTTGAAAAAAAAAAAGTAAGCCTCAATGCAAATCTGAAGCCTGGACCTTCAGGTTGATAAGCCAGCATACAACAACTGCACTATCACAGCTCCCTGCGGCCCCACACGGAAACATTACAACTGATAGGCAAGCATGCAACCACTGCACTATCACAGCTCCCTGCGGCCCCACACTGAAACATTACAATTGATAGGCAAGCATGCAACCACTGCACTATCACAGCTCGCTGCAGCCCCATGCTGAAATATTACAATGTGGCTCTAAACAACAACACAAAATGGCAAACCCTTTAAAAGGGCAAAGGTCAAATGAGAGAAAAAAATATAGCTGTTCAAACATTTTAACATGCTTACTTCACCAAGATGGGAGTCGCCATGGGGTTGGCGGCTAGACGCCCGCCTGCGGATCAGATGGCATGGGTTCGGGTCATGATGAAGCCAGATTTTCTTTTAAAATGACCTTGACTCCCAGGTTGACCCAGCCCTGAGTGGGTACCAGGTGCAGTCCTGGGAAGTAAAGGTGGCCGGCATGATGCTGAACACATCATCCACAAAGTGTGACCTTTATAAATATAGGTCTAGCTCTGTATACCCAATATGTCTAGAGGTATGAAAAAGAGTCCTTCACTTTTTTACTTTTACTTCACCAAGATGAAAGCCTTAAGGCAGGGATTCTCAAACTGTGGGCTGTGGCACCGTGGGAATCTGGGACCTTTTCACAGGGGCGTCACAAAATATTGTGAAAGCTGCATAATTAATTTAACCAAGACATAAATAGTCATACTTTTGCTTAGGTTAGGGCTCTGCGGAAAAATTTTCATTGCAAAAAAGGCGTCACAGCCAAGAAAAGTTTGGGAAACACTGCCTTCAAGGCCTTATTTAGTGCAATGAGCATTACTCACTAACACTCATAGTATTTTATTTTTATTTTCTTCTAACTTTTGACTAGTGTGGTCTGACATTCAACTATTCTATGTCTAATAATGAGTAGTTTAATCAGTTCCACAACAGCTACCATCAGTACGCATTCTTTGTTGGCTGCTGAGGAGGCAGACGGAGCTAATAAGGGCTTGTCCTAAATGTTGTGATGACTAATCTTTTCCCAGTTGAGCCCAGATGTTTAATGATGCCAATCAATACTTTTTTATTGATGCATGTGTGTGACTGCACACATCACAGACGCATACACACACAAACTCTCTTTCTCTATGTACGTCTCTGTCTGTCTAGTCTGGTCTGGTCTGTCTGGTCTGGTCTGGTCTGGTCTGGTCTGTCTGGTCTGTCTTGTCTGGTCTGTCTTGTCTGGTCTGTCTTGTCTGTCTGGTCTGTCTCTTCTGCTCCGTCTGGTCTGATACGTCTGGTCTGGTCTGACTGTCTGGTCTGTCTCTTCTGCTCCGTCTGGTCTGGTCTGTCTGGTCTGGTCTGGTCTGTCTTGTCTGTCTGGTCTGTCTCTTCTGCTCCGTCTGGTCTGATACGTCTGGTCTGGTCCGTCTGTCTGTCTGGTCTGACTGTCTGGTCTGTCTGTCTGGTCTGTCTGTGCGTGCATGCGTTTGCGTGTGTGTCTGTGTGGACTCAAGTCTGAGTCCAAAGAATCTCAGCACAGTGTACGAACTAGGATCCTGTAACACTGTGGGTAGATTTTTAACTCAAAATTTTGCCCGTGCAGTGCCGTTAGGCTACTCTTTTCCATCTCCAACTGGCAAGGGATTTTTTTACGTGCCCAACAATACACATGGGCGTCTGATCTTACTACCTAGAAGCCCACTTGAAAAAATCCCAGCCTGAACCCGGTACCTCAGGCATCCGATGCGGACGCTATACCTCGAGACCACGCAGCCCCTGCATGTATGTTATTTATTATGTCAAATAAATTAATCTATC